AAGTTTTATTTAAACATTTTAGCATTTTAAAAAAGTAAATCAGAACTAAAAAAGTGCAAAAACGCAGGCAAATTTGCTTGTATTGGTCTACATATTAAGGGATAAGAAGTATGATTATATATCGTATTTCTTGTCAAAATAATTAGATGATTGGATTTTTAAGCGTGTTACTAAGGAGTTTACATTTAGAGAAGTATGGCTATATATTAATAAATAATTTCTTCTAAAAGATATAAATTATATTTTTCTTATTTAATAATCAAAATTTCTTTATAAATAATCGATGCTTACCAGTTTTAATTGATTAAAAATTTCATCTTAAAAATTTTATTTTATAAACTTCATTCTAAAAAGTATACTAAAGTTTCGCTTTAAAATGAGTATTCTTCAAAAAAAAAGAAAAACTTCTAAAGCAAAAGCAAAAGCCCGATCAACTTTGTCTGTTGCTCCTAGCAACTTATCAAACTCAAGAGTAAATGCTAGTTTTACTCAGTATTTTTATAAAGATGATAAAACTGATAATACAGTTATATATTGTAAGATTTGTATTCAGAATTTGAATGAGTAAGATAATATTGATGCTAAACCATATCCATACACTAGATTAGGAAATAGCACAGGAAACATCTATGTAAAAAACATTATATAAATTCGAAAAATTATAAAAATTTTCTTGATAATGATAATGAAGTAAAATAATTTTTTTTATTATACTGTAATAAAATAATCAAATTTTGAATAAAATACTTAATGGTTTATTTTTTAGCCAATAGCAACAATTAACCAATCTGTTGATTCGACAGATCTTGATCTGCCTTCTCTTTCACCTATACAACAACAGGAATTAACAAAACTTGTAGTTGAATTCATTGTATATGATATTCAACCCTTAAATATATTAAAAAATCCATCATTTCGTAAACTTCTGAATAGTTTTAAACCACAATACCAAATACCATATGCAAAGACTATTAAAAAATATATTTCTGAAGCCTATGAATGGGGAATGGAGCAGCTTAAAGAGTTATTATTAAATATTAATATGGTTAATCTAACAACAGACTTATGGACTGTGAAAAGTAATTATGGCTATCTTGGTATAACTGTAACCTGGTTGTTTTCTGATTTTAAGCTTCAGGAAGTATTGCTCTTGAATCACCATATGCCGTATCCACATACAGGTTAAAATATTAGTGAAGAATTGTTTAGTATTATAAATATAGTCTCAGATATTACCAAATAAGAAAATCAGCCTATCACTAATAAAAGACTATTCTAGAATTAAAAAACATGGTATTTTTATCTTTTTAAAAAAAAAATTCATTTAATAATAAATCTTCAAATTAATTTTAATATAAATTGTCCTGTGACTATATAGTCCAGGAATCCCGCATGATCCCAGGAGCTTTAAAAGGCTGTTGTTTACTAAATACAAAGATAAAAGATGATTGGACGTAAATTTAGCCCTAAAGATTATCATAGATCAAAATAAACTTAAATGGGGGTCGTCTAAAGCCATGTACCCACGTGACTTTTTTGTGTAAATCAACCAACCGGAATCGCGAAAGTTTGTTTACACGGATCAGCCAGAAGAAGTTAAAAAATAAAGAAAATGCAAAAATATGAAAAACTATAGTCTAAACCTGTCTTGAAACATTAACAAAAAATGTTGGGGAGACGATTTTACCTATAGACTACTCTGCCTCTAACCCCACCCTAACACTAAACTATTTCTATTTCTAATTTTAATCAAAACTTCGAAAAATTACGTGGGTATATGGCTTTAGCCATCCCCCTTAAATGGAAATGTCTAGAATTTTCTAATTGTACAAAAAAAGATATGATCTGCATTATCCAAATTTGGTAATATTCGAGACTGAAATAAGTGGGAATTAGTAAATAAAGTACATACCATTATAATTGATAATGGTATAAATATGATAAAAGGTGTTAGTTTATTAAAAGAACATTATCTTTCTAATATTAATTGGCAGTTATGTGTTGCCCACACTCTTCAACTTTCAGTAAAAGAGAGATTAAAACAAATTAAGCCAATTTATAAATGACTTTGAAGTATTCAAACATTTTTTAAACTTCCAAAACAGACACAATGTTTGTGTAATACACAAATGCAAATGCAAATAGATTTATTAGATATAATTCAGAGTAATGCTGAAAATGAGATAGTATATCCACTCGATGTTCTAACTGATTGTAAGACTCGTTGGAACTCAACTTATTTGGCTTGGAAAAGAATTTTAGCATTGCATCTAGCAATGCTTACACTCACAACTACATTAAGAAATAAGTCAGATACTACTTCAAAACAAAATAGTGAAAAACTTTTAAAATTGTGTTTAACTACAGAAGAACAAGAGTATGTATTAGCATTTATAAATTTTTCATAATAATAACCATTAAATATTATAAAACATGTAATTTGCAAATTGTATTTCAATTTGTTAACACGACTTATCATATAAATTACTTATTATATTTAATATAAAAAAAATTTTACACTATTTATTACTTGGCGCTACTTTATTTATTATTATTATATTTTTAAAAAAAGGTTTACAGAGCAGATGGTCAATTTTTTAAAGCCCTTTGAAGAAATTACAAGACATATTTGTGGATCAAAGTATTCTACTTTAAACCTTGTATATTCTTATATTCGAACTTTAAAAAATAAATTTGCACCTAAAGAAGAAAATAATGAATTCTTTGAAGATTGGATTAATCTAATTTATGGCCCAGAAAATTTAGATACTAATAGCGATTCAAGTTTAAGTAGTGATAATGAAGCTGATATACCATCAGCAGGAAATCAGCAACAATAGCAATATGCATATCGAAGAGTGCACTATAATAAAAGTATATAAGTCATAAAAAAAGTAAAAGTAAAAAAAAATAATATTTACAGAATTAGAAGATTCTAATACTGTGGAATATTTATTACCTGTAAATTGTTTCGGGCTTCTAAAAAAAGCACGGGCTGCTATATTTTTGTCAATTGATAAATTATGGAGTACATCTAACTTAATAGGTTTAAAAGCATCTATTTTAGATCCCAGAGCAATAAAATTACTTCCATTTGCCACAGTTCAAGAGCATGAAGAAACCAAAGCCCAAGTTCGTGCTGAATTATTATTACTTAAAACACAATCAAATATTTTAAGTAACACTAAAATAGAAAGAAGCCCGGTAACTACTGATGAAGATCCTCAGGATTCTCTAAGTGCTAAATTATGGGGATCATTATCAATGCCTAATAATGCTATTGGAAATGAATTTACACAATATATGAATGAACCCATAGCTAATAAAAACCATAATCCTTTAATATAGTGGGAAGAAAGACATGTAAGTTTTCCGCTCCTTAGCCAACTTGCCCATAAATACTTATCCATCCCTGCTACATTAGTTCCATCAGAATGTTTTTTTCTGATGCAAACTTTACAGAAATTTATAATTTTTTAATAATATTGTAATTAAGTTGTCGCTAGATTGTTACTAAATTGATACAATT